TGGATGCGCTTCGATTGGAAGCCACACAACCCAAACAGAGGATGGACCTCCTTCTTCCTTGCTACGAGTCCAGGCGGTGTGGCTACCGCTACCTTGTTGCCGTGTGCTGGTGGTGGATGTGCTGGTTTAGCCATCACCGGCCACCGGGGTGCCGGGAACCTGGGAATGACCATTCTAGCCTTCGCTTGTTAGACCAAGACGCGGCTATCGAGGACTCGCTTCGAATGTCTCTCATCGGCTCAACCTGGCTGTAGCCTGGATTCTCCTGGTACTGGCACCGATACTGCCAGCCCGATCTCAGGCTTGACTTCGTTATCGTACACCTCAGGGATGGGCGCAGTGGTCAGGCTCTGTGGGTGCACCATCTTCGCCTTGGCTCCTCTTGCCGGTCTTCCAACGCTCTGTTTCCATGTATCACCCTCGCCTGCGGGTAGCGCAGTGGAGCAGATATCTCGCGTCGCAAAAAAGATGCTTGTGTTGGAAACTGTGTTTCTTCTCGTGGACGTGGTCGTTTTGTACTCGCTGATCTCGCCATGGGCACGTGGCTGGCCGAGGCTGGCGTCGCCCATTTGAATGCGTGTATTGTTTCGTGGGGCCCAACGTGTGGCATCGTGGCAGTCGTTCCATGGCGTACCAGGCCGCGTCCTACAGCCACGCATGCCTCCTCTTGTGTTCTACTTTTTTGTGCGGGTGCTGCTTGGGGTTGTGTGGGGTGCTTTCTACCGTCCTCATGTGTACGAGACGTGTCAGAGGTGCCTCGCAGCTGTCGGTGCCTTCGTACAGTTCACGCCGCGTCCTCCGAACGAACCAGTTCTTGACACACAGAAGCAGCTGGCATGACGCCGCCCAGTGTGTGAGAGTGGTATGGCCAACACATGTACTTGAATAAGCCAGCCAGGATCGTAGCCAAAAATAAGGGATGAAATCGCCTGTGAAAACTCTGCCAATTCAAATTCCTCAGGCACCAGCAAGTTCTGTCCCCCTGATATGCTCAGTCCGCTACATGGCACCTTTTACGTACACCTGCTTGCCCACCACTGCAGGGGTGTTCCAGCCGCGCCACTTCAGCAACTGTCAGGAGGACGACCGGTGGGATGGTTAAAGCGCGCTGCTGACCGCACGATCGTCCTGTAGTGTTTCTGATGCTTACGTGTTCTTGCTCTCCCCCAATCGACTCACCCCGTGGCATGTAGACTCAACCATAGAAACCGACAAACGGATACAACCCACGACCGCCGCCACGGTCACCACTGCACATGTTCGCTGTGCCGAGCACTCAACCTCGACAAAAACCCAACAGCCTGTAATCAACCCGCACCCACAGGACCATGGCGCCTCGTAGCTTTATAAGAATCCCGCCAGTTTCGACAGCGCCCTACCGCCCATCGTTATGCCTTTGCCAATACAAACACAGCAGCATTCTGTCACTAACAGGAATGAGAATATAGTTCAACACATCTGTAATGTGCTCACGGAAAGTTCAACTCAAACAGAAACCCACTTCTCCCCTCCTCTCAAGTGTTGGCAGGTGAAAAGGGAAGTTGCAGGTGGTCTAGATAATTCACCACTTCCTTTTTAACAGACCTCTCTTGGACAGAAAGTTTAGTTTTGTTCCATTACAGTACAGGGGCAGTTTTAAATATATTAGCCATTATAAATAAGTATAAATAAGGAATAAACAAAATAGAAACAGGTTTTGTGTACAGATCTCAAAAGAATTGCCCTCTCTGTAACAATAAAAAGTGCTTCAACTTTTTTCATCTACTTTAAAATGAAGTGACGATGTTTTATTATAACTCACTTAGTGAAACATTACGTACAATAATGCTAGAATTGAACACAGATAAAACATGATAAAGAAAAAAAACCCACCATGGAATTTAGGTAAATATAAAAGTAGTAATAATAACCCCCATTTAAAAAAAAAACTCATGAATTTCTCACCTTAAAGCTGAAGAGACTTTCTAATTGTTGATGTGTAGCTGTGTCATTCTCTGCATTGATCTTGTGTGCTATACGTCTGGCTTCCTGCTAGCATTACTTTGTATTTGCATCCTTTGTGTTGCTTTAGTACCCTCTACATGATGTAATAGTATGTAGGGATTTTCCGTTTCATGTTTAAAATCAGGAACTTGACCTCAGCAGGTCAAATATTTGAATCATAACTAATTTTAATATGCGCTCAACATTGCTTACATAGATCCACTTTAATGATTTTATATGTAATTTTGCTTTTACAATGACAAATCAAGTCATTAGTCATTAGTTTTCACTGAGTTAGTTCTGAGCATAAACAAATTCACGTAATTTACCTAAAGTGTGCGTCAGCGGTATATTCAGCGATTGCACACATTTATGAACGTGAAGTAAGTGTCATTTCCAGTGTTTCCACACTCATGCTCTAATTTGGTGCATAAGTGGTTTGTATTAAGAAATATGCACTTAATGAAAATACCCACTGCTATAGTCATACAGTCATAAGGTAGCCTACATTTTCTTGCTGTGCTATATGATAAATAATGTGGTGCAGATGAGAAAAGGTGGCTTGCCATTTTAGTCATTTCCATACAGACAAATCTCTACGGAGACATAACGTAGTTTTAGTATTGTGCTTGCTCAGAGTTAATGTTTTATAGCATAATTTGGTCTGCTTTTATTCTTTTCCATGTTTGTATTCTGCTTTAACTTTAATTAGTATACCTTACATTATGTCATTATTGCTTCAAACTTGTTCCTTTTTTTATATTCACTGTAGGTTGCCTACATTTACTCCTGGCCAGGGACTACAGATTAAAAGTAGCTTATTGGCTAATTCTGCCATATTTACGTTGATGTGTATTGATATTTACTGTCCCTGAGAAATAATAACAACAACAACAAACAAATACATGTGGTTGTTGCCAGTTGCCATTTAAGAAATAATCTAATCATCAAACAAAATTAGATAGATTTTATTTTCTCATTATTTTACTTCAATAATTTTGTCCATACTTACTGTATTGTCTTTACACAGTGAGGATAAACATCAATAGCTGCTCCATTGGTAATTCCGTCTTCACTGCAGCTGCAATAATAAATCAGTTATTGCCACTTTAAGACACAATGTAATGTTGAGCTTTTTGCTGTTGCACAGACACTTCCTGTTTCTGTCACACGGGGCTAAATAAAGACCATTACGTACATGCCCAAGTGTGAAAATCCTGACATACAGAGCAGTAAGTTGAATGCTACCAAATGTGCAACAATTATTGAAAAGCGCGTGAAATTCAAGTGTTGCTACAGTGTAGTTACTATGTCTAACCTAGTATGTATGTTATTGTTAAAATTGATGCTTTGCATGTTTAATGAACCATTGCAGAAATTAAAAAAAAAGAAAGAAAGAAAACAGACATAGAGTTTTGACTCAAATATAGAGTCATATGTTGCAGATTGGAGGATGCTTGAGAAAGTCAGTGCTTGATAGAAACCTATTTATCAGTTTCTTTTAAATGGATCTCCAACGTCCATCTGATGATTGGCAGCTAGTTAAAGGTCCAGTGTGTAACATTCAGGAGGATCTATTGGAAGAAATAGAATATCATGTTCATAGGTATATTTGCATTAGTGTAAAATCACCTGGAAATAAGAATAATTTTGTTTTTGTTACATTAGAATAAATATTTTTATGTACAGAGGGAGGTGGTCCTCTTCTACAGAATCTATCATGTTTCTACAGCAACCCAGAAAAGACAAAAGTTGGCTGTAGATAGGACCTATGGGTTTCTCATTTGGGTCTCATGGCCCCCGTAGTTTATCTTACACGCTTGTAAGGCGAGCAGTATTCAAATGGTTGCGAGTAACCGGCACTGATACAGACCCTGTTTACACCGGGCATTAACATGATTCTTGGGTGATCTGTTCCTGATTGTTTGGGCCTTGTCCAGATGTGTTACCGTATGTTTCAGGTACTCGGGAAGAATAAAAAGAAAGGCACAGCCCAGGCTGTTATTGTGGTCAGGTTACTGTGTAGTTTTCACATCTACACCCACTCATACTATGTAGTTAACCTCCTATTCTCACCACTGAGTGGCAGTAATCCACCTTGGTTGGATGGTTCAGGTTGGAACTGCTTGTGACCGTGCACATCGGTCATATGGACTTGGAGTCCAGTTTTTGCATCTTGACTTTAGTGGAAGAACAATACAAACCTCACATGTTTGAATATGACCTTTATCTTTATTATCATTAGTTATGTAACACATTACGTGAGAGTGAATATCATCAATATCATAGCATTGTATTTACTTCAATAGTGTAATACTGGTATTTATTTGTTGTGAATACTTCCCTCAACTACCTCCGTATATGTGACCATGAACTTTGTCCAATAACACAAGTACCACAAGGCATACATCTCTCACCCTTATTTAAAATTACCCTCTGAGCTATTTTTCTTGCAGTTTGGACCATCATGCACAAGTTAAGTTAATCTTAAATCTATCTTTATATGTGGTTCATAACTTGACATCATAATTTTAGAGGCAAACCCTCTCAAGTTCCTTCCTCTTTTTTCTCATCCTTCCTTATTTCTACCATTTAAATTAATTTAAATTACCCAGACAAACAAATTAAGAATTGATAGTGGCTGAATGCAAGTTTCACTACATTATTTTAAACAAATAAAAACATATAAAAAACAACATTTAAACCATTAAACTTTGAGTTCGCTTAAAAATTTTCCTCAAGTAAATTTAAACATACAAATGAACATTTTTTCCATATTACACAACAACATCATACATATTCTGTATCTGCTGAAATGAAGCTATCACGCAGCATGGTGGTCTGATTGTATACATCAGGTTTTTCAGGAAAAAAAAAATATCACACTGATGATGTAGAGGTCTCAAAAACTTCCCCCCAGGTCAGGATCTCAGAGTTGACCACCAGGCCCAGAGGTAGCTGAATGGAGTGGCAGCCCTGGTGAGCAGCACATGGTAGGCCTGTCGAAACTGCCGGTTCATAACAGCATAGAGCACAGGGTTGATACAGCTGTTGAGCCAGGTGAGGTTCGCACAGAACATGTGCAGTAGCTGTGGAGCGCGGTTATGTTTGTCAGCTAAGTTGAGCAACAGGAAGGGGACAAAGCAGATCACAACACACAGGAAAACAGTTAAACACATGTGTGTCACGCGCTTCATTTCCTTATCTCCTGAGGCTGTGGAGGGCAACGAGGGCGCTTCATTTGTGGGAGCAGGTCTCGGTGAAGGTGATGTAGGGACGATATCAGGGGGAGACTTGGTTGCTGATGAATGTGAGGCTTTATCAGAGCTCTGGTTAGATTTGGAGGGGTTTTCACAAGATATTTCATCTGTATTTTGGTCACTGTCATCGGTCCCTTGTGCTGAGGAGGCTGGTTTCTTTCTGGAGGACCGACGGCTGAACCTGTAGTGGAGCAGAGCTTGTGAGGCAATCAGGACACGTCTGTAAATGAGGAGGTAGAATACACCAATGCAGCACAGGCTAATTAAGAAGGAGAACAAGAGCAGGATGGTGGTGTAGGGACGGCCCCTGGTCCGGTGGATGCTGCACATGCACACATTTGGCACGAATACATAAAGAGGCCATAGTGGGCCGAAGCTGGCCA